GCTTCCCCCTTCCAGCTCCCTCCTCCCAGGTTTCCCCCTTCCCTCTCCCACCCTCTCTTCTCCCCTCTCCTGCTTCCTTTCCCCAGTCTCACCAGAGCTTCATCCCCCCCCCAGTTTTGTTGAATAAAGAGAGTTTCTATTTTTGAACACGTGTCCTTTATTTTTTACATCAGGAAAGGGGGCTAAGAAGGGTTAAGTGGAAGGAGGTGAGGGAGGAATGGGGCACGAGCCCCCAATGGGGAGGACTGGGGTGGTTCTACGGGCTCCTTGGGGTGGAAGCTCTCCTGCAGGGCCTCCTGGATCCTGACAGCCCCCAAATTGGCCTCCCCGGATGGCAGCCTGCGGCAAGTGCAGCCGGGCTGATGGCCGAGTGTAGGCACTCAGGGCACTCCGAGACAGTACTGCTTTGTTGTCCCTCATCAAGGTAGACAAGCAAGCGGGGAACTCTGAGAACTGTCTGTCTGGAGTGGGGGTCGGGTCCCTTTAAGCACAGCCCTCGGCTAGCCTGAGGCAGCAGCTCCACACTCTAAGTCCTAACCTGATGCCCTACCGGCACTGCTTCCGGCCATCCTTAACCTCGGTTCAGGGTCCACTCAATGTGGACATGCTAGTTCGAATTATCAAAGTGCTAATTCGAATTAGTTTTTAGGTCTAGATGCACTAATTCGCATTAGGTTAGTTCGAATTGACTAATTCGAATTAAGTTCGTTCGAATTAGTGCATACCCCAACTGTTCACACCATTGCTGAAGGGCAGCAGGGATGAAGCCATGCTGTGGAGAACGGTTCCGTTAGAGCTGGGCAGATACTGGGTGGAAGTGAAAGGGGAGGGCTGTGTGATGGGGGTGCTGATGATAAAGTCACAGGCAGCATGAAGAGGGTCTAGCTCGGCTGTGCTGAGCAGGGGCTGGTATAGAGCATGGAGAGTCCAGCACAGATGCCCCAAAGTGTTTTCCTCTAATTCTTCATTACAGTAATGAGACCAGAAATCCAGCTGCTGTTCCCACCCTGGGACTTCAAGTGAAGACAGTGCTGGCCCACACAAGATTTTGCAAATACCCTGCCACTGCTTAAAAACTCTCCAAGGTCACAGTCTCTTGGACCTTGGGCACATTATGACTTTCGTGGGCCCCTCCCACCATAATAATATCAATAGTAACAATTATATTTTATATAACTTTAAATACGTCAACATTTTTTTTTTCTGTTTTAGGCAAAATTCAATAGATTTTCGTGGGCCCTAAAAGTTTCATTTTTTTCTGATGTGAGAAAAAAATTAAAACGTTTTCTTCGACCCTAAAAGTTCATTTTTTTCTTCTGATTTTAAAAGAAATTAAAACATTTCCATGAATCCCTAAACGTATCGTGGGCCCTAGGCACTGTGCCTAATGGATAAGTCAGCCCTGCTTGGATGGTATGCTGCCACTGCTCAAATGCAAAACCACCCTGAAGCCAGCAAGTCACACTTGGGAACGTCTTCCTGTGGGGTAACCAAAAGCTCTTTAACCTTCCCTTAGGAGAGAGCTTGATAACAAACTAATCTTTTAATAGCAGACATTCAGTTCAGGGACATGGACACAGAACCTCCTGCTTCTAGGATAAGGAAATCAGAGTATAATCTTAAAAAGTGATTTTATTAACAAAACAAAGAAGATGCATTTGGCAAAGCAGACCTGGTTGCTAGATGTTACAGAGCAACTAAAACCAGATTAAAGCAAAGAGCATTGCTTCCCTGGGATTTAGTTTCAATTACAATGGACAGGGATTTTTTTTATAGCAGCATAGAAAAGTCCCACAAACCAAGAAAATAAGCTGATCATGTCTGTCTAAGCATTCCTTTTTCTACTTACATCTCTGCTGGTCCACGTTTAGGTTTTCTTTCCTGAGTCATTGATATTGCTGGGAAATTCATGCCACATTACTTCTCCATTCATTTATTTCCCAGCTGCTCTCTGTACTCACAGACCAAGGAGACTGAAACAGGCAAAATTTGTTTTATTTAAAAAAATCTTTCACTCTCTTCCCATTGGCTCTCCTGGTTCACTGCCAACACTTCCTGGATGCCCACTGTTCTGGATTTAACCCTTTAGTTACTGATTGCTGGGATGTTTGGAAAAGGGTGGCACCCCTCCCATCCATCACAGTTATGTATGGAGAACTGGGTTAAAATTACTAGCTATCAAATGATGTCTGAATGGAGGTATTTTGCTGCATCTTCTAGGGTAGGAGTCATGGGGAGAAAGGTGCAATCTATGTATTCAGAACTCAATCTGCAGCCAGCCAGCCTAGAATGAGGTGGGATGAGTTGACATTTATTTTAGCGACCAGCTTGATTTGGCTTTCTCTGTTTCGGGTTCTTGTGCATCATTGTTCTGAATTTCAAGAAATGAAGCGGGGTACATTGTAACCTTCCAGGAAGAGTGTTTTACCTCCCATCTTCATTTATGTGCCATGAATGTAATCCCATGTAGCAATGTCATGGAGATGATGCCAGAAAACCTCCCTGTATTTTGGAAAAAGTTTCTCACCTATGTAATAGCTGAGTCCTTAGATCAGTTTAACCACAAACTCACGGCTCCTTTTTGTTATGAAGTATCAAAGATTTTTATTGAGAATATTAAATACTGGGGGTGGGGAAATCAAAGACTATCTAGGAACCATAAACACCTTCCCAAAAAACCCACACCTGCTTCCCCCCATGACTTTCTGCCCTTGATGTTGTCTATCTACCCAAGGTGTAGAGACTGAGTTCACAGTTTTGGTGACCCTTCCATTAGGGTTTACTAACTCCAATTCTACTACTCTTCAGTAACACAATAGCAATGACATTTTATAGATTCATAGATTCTATGGGCAGAAGGGATTCCATCACTCCTGCCTCCAGTATGGAAGTGAATTTTAATCAATACCATGGTAAAGGAGGTGTGTCTATGCAAATAAGGTCTGCTCAGGAGATTTGTTTCTTCTGTTCATCAATGGATGATCAGAGAAAGCTCATTCTGACATAAATGGCCAGGCTTATGCTGTGGAACCAGAAAGACAAACATATGCTAACCAATAACTTAGGTTAAAAATATGCAGGGCAGTA